TGTGGAATTGTCATTATTTTTAACACAGATTCATCATTCTGAATAAGCCCAACCTTTGACTGTGACAAACTTGATTTTGTGGGGCGACTGTGGTTCGGTGGGTAGAGCGGTCATCTCTCAAACGTAGGGTTGGCGGTTCGAATCTTGGTGGCTGCAGTCCACATGTTGAAGTGTCCTTGGGCAAGACCCTGAACCCCCAAGTTGCCCCCAATGATTAGAGCCATCGGTTGAGTTGGTGCCGCAGATGGCTGCCTCGGTTCTGTACCAGAAACAAATTCCTTGTGTGTGTAACATGCTTGGCCAAATAAAGTTGATTATTCTTGAGACCGCTTTAGCCTTTCTCTTTTTGCAGTGTGCTCCAGAAGCCCTAGGCCTGATTCATCCGTCCCAGCAGCCTCAGTTCATTCTGGGCCCGTGGACCTAAAATCCTCAGCTGCTAGAGAAGACCAGATCTTCCTAAGACACCAAACATCTGTGCAAATAGCCCCTTAGAAACAACACAGCTTTGTTTTGAGAACAAGAAGCAGTAATGAAGACAATGTGGAGGAAAAGCAGGACCTCCACGTTTCACCTCTTAAACAGTTCTGGTGGAGGTCTGAGGGTCAGCTAGCACCTACAGTCTAGTTCATTTTCAGATTTCTACAAGTGTACCTTAGAAATATCTTGCAGTCATAAATGCTGATAGTTGCTGTCCACATTATAAACATACAAACCAGTCCTGGCTCTCCTTGTTTCCTTTATAAATGCATAGCTCAGTCACTGGTAATTTGACGAGGACAGGCTTATGGCTTGTTTATTAAAATGATTCCTGTCCTCCTGTCTGACCTCCTCACTTGCTCTTCCCCACAGCTCTCGGCATGCTATAGGGAGTGGCTGGGAGAGCCAGACTGTTGTGTTTAGGACAGGGGTTGGGCAGAGGGCTGCACAGTGGACACCAGTGAGAGCTGCGGAGTCAGTGACCCAAGAACTGAGAGTAGAGGACAAAAGGCACAGCAAAGGAGGTTTCAGGCTGGAGTTATGAGGCTGGGAGCCGCAGCCTTGGCTGGGGGGATTTTCGGGGCAGTGGGGACTCTATGTTTCCTCTTGGCCTTTGGTACAGACTACTGGCTGGTGG